TAGTCTCTCGCCCCATGTGGAGTCTGTTTGGGGACTGCTGTTTCAGAACTGTTGAGTGTCAGGAGGAGGGGATCAGGAACCTGGTGGCCGAATGTCTGGGGAAACTGATGCTAGTCAACCTGGCACAGCTGTTACCCAGACTTAAACAGCAACTCATAGCTGGTATGATGTGTGGTTGGGTCTGATTTTCACTGCTGTAACAGCTGCACTATCAAGGAATTTTGTCTCAACTTTTTAATCGACACCACTTTGATGCAGTTTTATAAAGAAGAAGCATTAACTATTATTAACTTCTTTTTTTTTCAAAACATAGATTGTTATTATGTTATTATTATTAGATTATGTTATTATTTGATGTATTTTTTATTTGAACCTTTTTATGCTATAGTTTCATTACTGGTTTAACAGATAACAGTGGTGAAAAGTCAGTTAGGTACAGAAATTCTACAGCAGCATACGACTAGAATTACAATAATCATCAGCTTAATTTACTGTGAAAGTAATGCAACTGTTAGTCAGTAATTTATTGTGAATTTACAGTCAGATATTTCACAGTGCACCATTAAAGTCATAATATTGACGGGAGGAGATCTAGGAGGTTAAATGACTGTGTAAATATGAACAGGGTGAAGCAACTGCAAACAAAGAGCTTCACAGACCTAACATTTCTGCGACTGTCACTATTTTTGGTCATGACTAGAACTTTAACACCAGTGCTGGTGCTCAAATAAATTAGTAGTTTCATATTTACATGTATAAATGAAAATGAGAGATGAGCAGAAATTTAATTTGTATTTTATTTTTGACATTTTCAACAGTTATTTATCAGTCAGTTAATTTACAGGGAGGATTTATTCCCTGTTCAGACACTTTGAAGTAGGAGAAAACCGGAGAACCCGGAGTAAAAACCCACACAAAAAGCGACACACACTGCTCCTTATTTCATCACACGTGATGTGCTCTGATGGACTAACTGACAGTCTGGTGTGTCCCTCTATTTTTGTGATGCTCTGTGATCTTAAGTCATCAACATAATCATTCAGTACACCACAGAGCTCCTCTGTGATTGCCGGGGCCTCACCACTGTGAACAACCAAGCAACCGGGCAAACCTTCATGTGCTGGTTTTCCAAACAGCGAGGTCACTCGAGCCATTTGAGACTGTAGTGCGCTGGTGTCATTGACTTGGCTAAAAAACATTTTCTGTAGCTGTGCCATGATTTCATAAAATGATGCTTTGGCATACATCTGGACAAAGTTCATCTTACTTATTCTGTGCTCCTCATTGAGGGAACATGTGATGGTGAATTTCTGAACAACAGCATCTATCTCCTTCATACTGTCCATTTTAACTGATACCTCAGCAGTGTCATCTGAGAGTATGTGAATTTTGAGGAAGCGCTCAAGTTCGAGCTGATCTGCTGTGTCCTCATATTGATCTGATAACATTTCCTGGTCTCCAAAGTCCAAACGGCGGTTTGGGAGATCATGTAAATCTCCTGATTACAAATTAAGCTCACATGAAGGCCCCAAAACATGCCTGACTTTCAAAATAAAAGCCCAGGATAGTAACTGAATCTCACATAAAGTCCTGGAAACAAGCCAGATATACAAAATAAAAGCCCAGAAGTTAAGTTTACATGAAGGCCTTTCTACAAATGTAAGCTATTTTATTTCTACTTCTCATTTTGGCACGATACCTTCAGCTGTTTCAGAGATGCTTTTAAGCTCTCAGATTTTTTAGAGAATAAATTCCCAATTTCAGCTTTTTGATTTCATCTTACATAATTATTCAACTTTTTCTTTTCATCTTTCATAAATAGTCAACATTTTTTCAACTTCCACAATTACAATCCAGCATTGCATCTCATCCTTTAGCTATTTCAACAAAGAACTTCAGCCATTTCTTCTCATCCTTCAGCTGATTTCAACAGTTGATTTCAGGCATTTCAACATTTTCAGGGCGATACCTTCAGCTGTTTCAGAGATGCTTTTAAGCTCTCAGATTTTTTAGAGAATAAATTCCCAATTTCAGCTTTTTGATTTCATCTTACATAATTATTCAACTTTTTCTTTTCATCTTTCATAAATAGTCAACATTTTTTCAACTTCCACAATTACAATCCAGCATTGCATCTCATCCTTTAGCTATTTCAACAAAGAACTTCAGCCATTTCTTCTCATCCTTCAGCTGATTTCAACAGTTGATTTCAGGCATTTCAACATTTTCAGGGCAATCCTACAGCATTTGTTTAGTTTTAAATGTAATACTGTCCTTAGTGTTTGGTCTAAAGCTACATACCACTGTGAATCCTGCATAAATAAAAAGAGAAAACTGTCATAAAAAGAGCTCAAATGGAGTCAGAGAGATCCATTCATTTTATCGGACTTACAAACACAAACATCAAACAACGATTTTTCATTTAAATTCTCATTATTGGTAAATTTGGGTTCAGTTTTCATAGTTGGACTTGAGACTCTCTCTCTCTCCTGACCCTCTCTTTCACCCTCTCTGTTGCTCCTTTTCACCTTTCTCTTTCTTTGTAAATTGCAGAGAT